ACTTGTGTCAAGTGGGGCCCTGCCTATATTCAGCACTCATGGATGACAGGTGCACAAACGCAAAGGCATATGTCTTGAAGGCTACTCATGACCCCAGGGTCTGAGGGGTCCCTCGAGTCTGGTAATGTCAAGATTGAATATTGAATTTAGAGAGTACAAAGCTTTACCTTTGGTATTTTTCATGAAGGCTGGATTAATTATAGCAAACTACAGCTAAGGTTTATTGAACGTTTTTCCTGTAGAAGAAAATGGCAACCCACTCCAGTATTCTTGCATGGGAAATCCCATGAACAGAAGAGCCTGGCAGGCTATAGTCTATGGGTCACAAGAGTTGGACATGACTCAGCAACTAAACAACAAAAATCACGTGTTAGGGACTGTATCAATTGCTTCACATGGATTAACTCATTGAAATATCATAGGATGACAAGTAATATTATTGCCCCTTTTAGGCTTCTAGGAAACTTGGGTCTTAGAGGAGTCTAGTATTAATAGAATGTGCAAATAGACAAAAACAGTAAGTGGTAGACTTAAGTTCCACACCGAGTCTAATTCTAGGACAGGGGAGCTTAGCCACACTCTTATCTCTCTGGAGGCCCTAAAGCACCTCCCAGTGGCTATAGCAAGTTAGCATTTGCCCAGTATGGGGGGTGTGTGTGTGTGTCACTCAGTCGTGTCTGACTCTTTGCAACCCCATGAAATGTTGCCCACCAGCCTCCTCTGTCAATGGAATTCTCCAGGCAAGAATCCTAGAGTGGGTTTCCATTCCCTTCTCCAGGATATTTTCCCAACCCAGGTATCAAACCCAGGTCTCCTGCATTGCAGGCAGATTCTTTACCATTGTGATGGTCAGTTAATCTGTTCTTAAAGACCTTCTTTCAAATTTTGAAGCAATAGCTAGATTAAGAAGTAAAATGGGTTAGTTTATAATTTGTAGGGAGTAGGTAGGAAATACTCTGTGCTTCCAGCACATTTTTTTGTAAACCTAGAGTGCTCTAAAAATGTAAGATCTATTAATATACATAAGGTTTCTGCCTCTTTCTCTGCCGGTTTCCTAACCTCATTCTCAAGTGCATATCACCTTATGTGAAAATGTGCATCTAACTAAACAAAGACGCCCAGAACCTCTTTGACAAGATCTACTTGGCAAGAGTTCTCAACTGGAATGCATTTTCTCCTTCTCAATCTCTCATGACAAATGTCTTTAAACATCCTGCTTTTCTTAGTCTGCCTGGTATTACAACCAATAGTGTCTTTTCTTTAGATTTTGAGTCTCTGGAATATAGAGACCATTTATATCTTATTCATTTCCAGTCCCGCACCCAATATCTGTACTATGCCTGAGTACATGATAATGAAAATAATTACAAACGCTCTTTATTGAGGGTTTAATTTGTGCCAAAAATGTATTTCAAGTTATTCATGATGAATACTATTGACAAATTTAGGCCTTCTTAATCCTGGCCTGGGCTTCCCTGGTGGCTGAACGGTAAAGAATCTGCCTGGCAATGCAGGATATGTGGGTTTGATCCCTGAATCAGCAAGATCTCCTGGAGAAGGAGATGGCAACCCAGTCCAGTATTCTTACCTGGGAAATCTCATGGACAGAAGAGGCTGGCAGGCTACAGCCCATGGGGTTGCAAAAAAAGTTAAACACAACCTTGTGACTAAACAACAACAATCCTGGCCTGGATTCTTACAACGGACTGCGGATTGGCTTCTTTAGCCTCTGCATGTTCCAGCCCCCTACACTTAGATATCCTCAGATGACTCTTCCCAAGTGTCGTTTCCTGCTCAAATATCTGTAACGGTGGGACTCCATCGTCTGCTCTTCAGCATCCCTTAAGGCCCAAAGCTGCACCCCTCAGAATCTGTTATGCTCCAAAAAGCTGGCTCAATATTTGCTAAGTACACATAGTGCTTCCTCTTCTTTGGAGCTTTGTTTATGCCTGAAAATGTTCTCTGTTCTTCGTTTATACTGTGAAACACTTTACCTATCATTTCAAACATTATCCATGTTCATAATCCTAATTTCCTCCTACCGTCTCCCTCACTCATACCAGTTGTATTCTTATTTGAGTTCTAACACATTGTACTACTTTGGCCATTTCCTTATTATATGACTTTAATAATCAATTCACGTGGGGCTTCCCAGGTGGCATAATGGTAAGGAATCTGCCTGCCAATGCAGGAGACCCAGGGGATGCTGGGTTTGATCCCTGGGTTGGGAAGATTCCCCTGGAGTAGGAAATGGCAACCCACTCCAGTATTCTTGCCTGGAAAATTCCATGAACAGAGAAGCCTGGTGGGCTACAGTCCATGGGGTCACAAAGAGTTGGACACAACTGAGCACCTAACACTTAACTGTTTTTTCCACTTTCACCTGGATTTTAACCTTAATTGTGAAAAGGGATTACATTGTCCTCAATTTTGGACCATCTGAAACTTCTAACACAATGCTTTGCAATAGTGGACATTTCAACAATCCTCATACTGGAAAGACAGTAACACCAAGTGGGAATATATAAGCTGTGATGTGAGGTGAACAAGGATTCCAAAGTCAGGTCAACCAGTAGCTGTGGAATTTGGGCAAGGTAGTTAACTTCTGAGACTCAAATTTGTTTTCTACAGGCATGGCATTGTATCTGGTACATAGTGTTATTGAAAAATTTTAAAGGAAAATATATGCAGAGTTTGACATTCAGTAAGTATCTAATACATGGCAGTAGCAAGTGTTTGTTTCATAGAATTTTCCTTCTGGAATACCTTCAATTTTTTCATACTAAAGATATTTTAACTCTCTTTTTTAGCCATATCTGTGCTTGCAGTAATTTGCTAGGAAGGCAAAATTTGGAATCAAGATAGCCGCTTTATATATAGGTCTGATATTGTATTTACAATAAGATCTATATTTATTTTGCAAATATTATAGTACTTGTCAATTAAGTAAATTCATGAATATTTATTGAGCATCTGTTATTCATCAAACACTATTGTAGTGTTTGGGGATACTGCTGTGAATAAGATATAGTCCTAGCTCTCCACTCTCATTCTAATGTGTACAAAGAGCCCCACAGATATCTAAGAAACATGATCAAAAGCTTATGTAAAAATGGGGCCAAACCTGCACTAATTAGAATCCCAAACTCCATTTGAGTCTTTTTTTTTTCCATTTATTTTTATTAGTTGGAGGCTAATTACTTTACAATATTGTAGTGGTTTTTGCCATACATTGACATGAATCAGCCATGGATTTACATGTGTTCCCCATCCCGATCACCACTCCCGCCTCCCTCCCCATCCCATCCCTCTGGGTCTTCCCAGTTCACCAGCCCCGAGCACCCGTCTCATGCATCCAACCTGGGCTGGTGATCTGTTTCACCCTTGATAGTGTACTTGTTTCAATGCTGTTCTCTCAAAACATCCCACCCTCGCCTTCTCCCACAGAGTCCAAAAGTCTGTTCTGTTCATCTGTGTCTCTTTTTCTGTTTTGCATATAGGGTTATCGTTACCATCTTTCTAAATTCCATATATATGTGTTAGTATACTGTATTCATTATCTTTTTGGCTTACTTCACTCTGTATAATGGGCTCCAGTTTCATCCATCTCATTAGAACTGATTCAAATGAATTCTTTTTAATGGCTGAGTAATAGTCTGAGTCTTAAAACTGGTCTGTTATGGCAGCTTCGGGGAGTCCAAGAATGGTTACTCAGATACTTATTCATTTTTTTCCTTTTTCATGTGCTTTTTTTTTTTTTTTTTTAATTGAAGTATAGTTGATATACGTTTGTTACTGAACCGAACTTGGGTTTGCTTGCTTGCTCACAATAGAGGCAACCGACTGACACCTGGCTGTGATGGGGAAAGGGCAGCGTTTATTCCAAGGCACCATACAAGGAGTCTGGGACAGCCAATGCTCAAAAAGCCTGAAATCCACAATGGGGTCCAGCAGGGTATTTTTAGAGGCAAAGTGAGGGAGGCAAGCCCCGGGGTAAGGTGATGAGCTTGTGCACAATTCTCTGATTGGTTAATGGTGAGGTAACAGGGCGTGTCAGGGGTTATCCTTAGCTTTAGGGGTTGTCCTTAGGCTCCAATAGGTTTGGGGAGCTTCACGCTGCTTTCCATCTTTTGAATAGTTAACTAGTTAACATCTTCCACCTGGGGGGTCTTTAGCCTCTGTAAAAGCAACTCAGGAAATGTGCATCAGATGCTGTTATCTAGGCACTCTCAGAGGAGCTAAAGCACAATGATTTCACAATGTTTAAAGGTATTTGCTATATTCTCCGTGTTGTTTAGCTTATTTTATACATAATAGTTTGTACCTCTTAACCTCCTACCCCTCTAATGCCCCTCCCACCCCTCCTACTGGTAACCACTAACTTATTTTCTGTGTCTGTGATTCTGCTTTTTTTTTCAGTAGTTCCTTGTATTTTTTAAGATTTCATATACAAGTGATTTGTCTTTATCTGACTTATTTCACTTAGCATATGCAGGGTATTTTGTTACCCAGAGTTTTAAAAGCTAGGACTTTATGAAACAATGTTGCCAAGGCAAGCTGAATGTGTTTCCTCTTCTGGGCAAAACGAAGACTAAATCTGTAAGTCTTGGGGTGTGACAGATGGATCTGAGCTTTCTCTATTTCTATTTAAATAACCTAAAGTAGTTCTCGGGGAGTGAAAGTTGTTCCTTGCTGGCTGGCAGACAGGAGCGCCCCAAACACCGCCGCTCTTCGTTTGCAGCCTCGTAGGTGAGTCCTAGCGGTGGCCTAGGGGTCCCCGGGTCCTTGGCCGCTCCGAGCCTCTGGCCGGCGCCGCCAGCTCCGCGCGTCCGCCCGGGTGCGCGCGGGGAGCTGTCAGTGTCAAGCTCCGGAGCGGGAGGAAGCGCCGGGTCCCCGAGGAGCGCGAGGCGCGGGCCGGCGCAGCGTGAGACAGCACATCCTGCGCGCGCCCGGCCCGTCGCCCTCGGGAAACGCTCGGGCGCAGCCGCCGCCGCCGCCGCGCTCGCCAACCCAGGGCCGCCGCCGCCCGCGTGCAGGTAAACGGGAGGGGTGGGGGGTCGCGCTCCCCGGACCGCCGCCCGCGGGGTCCCCGGCCTTCGCAGTCGCCAGGCAGCAGTGCGGCGCGGCGGCCGCAGCCGGACCTTGGCGTCGGCCCCCTCCCGGGGCTCCTGCGTGCTCCGCGGCGCCCGAAAGCGGCCGAAGCCTCCCCCGCACCCTCCCCAAGCCCCGCGGCAGCCCCTTGCCGCCGCGCTCCCGGCCGAGCCCGGCGCAGAGGGGAGAGAGAGTCCTGCTACCATCACCTTGTCGCCCACCTGGTGCCCTGGGAGGGGCGTCCCGGGGCGCCCCGCCTCGGATCTTCTCCCCGGGAGCTGACGGCTAGCCCCGGTGAAACCCGCACCCGCTGGGCCATCAGCTGATGGGGAGGGGGAGGCTGCAGAGGGAGGGCGGGCTGGATGCCGTTTTGGGTACATGTTCAGCTGTCTGCAACGCTCTTAGATGCTGATGCTACCCGCCAAGTGGCAGGAAGCGAATGCACTTCCAGCAAGGCATTAATGAAACAGTCGCGCAAGAAGGTGCGTTTCTCTCACGGCTGTAAAAAAAAAAAAAGTGTGGCTGGGGGAGATGTTTTCGTAAACACCTTCGCGGCCGCGTGGCTCCTTCCCCCGCAGCGCTCTGGCCTTAAAAATCCGTGCGTCGTCATTGCAAGGGCAGTGATCCTGGCGGCACCGATGGGAACTGAGAGTGCTGGAGTCTCATGACTTATGACGAGGATGAACAGAAACCCGGGGTCAGGACAGGAAATTACTTAGGAAATTAAAGAACTCAGCCAAATACAGGAGATGGAATATATTCGTTATCCTGGACTCTCCCACATCTAGGTAAGGGGCAGAACAAGTAGCCAGCCATTTTCTTGCCTGGAATGCCTTTCAAGGGGGCTGTAGACTTGCTGTAGTTAAGGGTTGTGCAGAATTGCTTCCACATATTCCAGATGAGCAGAAAATATTACTAACATCAAGGTATGGTAGCTGCAGAAGACATCATATGGCTAATATTAACACAGATACGGGTGACTGCTATGTACACATTTTCATCATGAAAATTATAGAGAAATACGTTGCGCGGTATTAGTAAATTTGAAATTTGCATTCATTGCAAGTTGCACCCTGAGGATACCAGTGGGAATGTGGTTCATAATTCCTCTGATTATTTAGAATGCCAAATTTTCACCAAAAGTTTTGGCATGGAAGAAAATGGATCCAAACTCTGCTCTTCTATGTCTCTTAGTAAAATAAAATCATACACTCCTGTCACCAAGTGATCATTTGTTCTCTTCATAGGGACCAATTTCCCAATCTTTCTTGAGGTTTGGGGATCCAGTGCTCCAAGAGCCATTTCTTTTAAAAATCTTCCAGCACTATCATTGGTATTTTTAAATAATGTGCAGGCTTTCTTCAGCCGGATCAGCTCTGGACCAACTTCTTGGCCCAGGACATCTTCTCTATCTCTTCCTTGTCTGGGGCATCAGGCACTGATGCACCTGCTTGCTTCTTGGACCTCAAGGTTGCTGAGCTTCTGCTCCTCCGTTCCCTGGAGGGAGAGGGATGGCTCAGCCTCTTCCCACACCCAGCCTTTCCTCCTCTGCTGCTGGAAGTATGTCCTGAGGCTTTGGTGGTGTTATAGGTGTGTGTTATTAAGAATAATCTTCTCTGGGGGTTTGGGCAGAGAAGACAAGGTAACCCCCAGGAAAATGGAGCAGACTTCTTACAGTAGTGGTCCCCGGGCCCTTGTTTCTAATGAACTGAGCTGGTAAGAGGAAGTCACCAGGCATTTCTGTCCTCACGTTTTATGTCTAAGAGGGGGCTCTATGAACTTTTCCCCCCACCCCTCCTACTTCTTCCAACACTCCTTCCAGAGTCTGCATTTATTAAATGAGCCTTTCCCTTGTGCTGAGTCAAGCACTTCTTGGAGATAAAGCCTGGGTGCTGCTCTGTTCACACTCAGAAAAACCACGTAGAACAGTCTGGTAAAATCCATGCCGAGTTTTTAAAGCCAGCCATATCTCTTAGCACAGACAAGTGTGCACAGGCTTCAGCAACAGTTACTTCAAAAAATAAAAATAAAGAAGACTTTACTGGCAGTCCAGCGGTTAAGACTTTGTGCTTAATGCAGGGAGCCTTGGTTGGATCTCAGTTGGGGAACAAGGATCCCACATGCCATGGAGCACAGCAAAAAAAAACCCAAAAAACCCAGTTACCTCAAAGGGCCATTCGCTCTCCCAGATTGAGTGTATCACTTTGTTTCTTTCTGTTACTTAATAGCATCAAATGTAAAGGTCACATGCATGCATTGCAAACTTAAGTGTGTTTTTTCATCATCTTAAGTATATTCTTATTCATTCTTTCATGTATTTTGCCCCATCAAAGAAAACAGAAGTTGTTAATAATACTTTTATTTATAATAAAATCAAATAATACTGAGCATTTTAGCAGTGCTTAATACATTTCCTGAATGTATTGCACTGACTTTGCTAAATGTATTTCACTCCCAATATATTTACGAAAATGTATTGAGTACTTGACCAGGCATTGCATTTTAAACTACTTCTCAGGTATTAGCATATTTAATCCTCACAAAAATCTGCTGAAGTAGATATTATTTGTAATTCTATTTGACAGACAAGGAAACTAAGACACAAGGATGTCAAGTAACTTACTGAAAATTGCTCAGCTGAGAAGTTATAGAGCCAGGATTTGAACCTAGGCAATCTGACTCGAGTCTTCTATAGGACAGTTTATACTGGTTAATTTTTATGTATTGAATTCCAGCTCTTCTGTTATCTCATTTTAATCCCGATATTAATGTTATGAAGTAGACATTATTATCTGTGTTTTACAAATGATAAAATTGAGCTAAGTGAGTTGATACACCGCAGAGGTAGGATTCAAATCACTTCTGTATGACTGTAAAACCAGAGCTCATCCATTTTAGCTAGCGTCCTCTGTGAGAAATAAAAAAGTTGAGCTTGTCTGTTCTTTTGGGTTTGTTGCCCATTTTCCCTGTGAGCCATTGCTATTTCTTTTACTCCTTAAGTGTAGCCCTATTTTTTTTTTTTTTTACCAAGTGATCGGTATGCTTTTTTGCCAGGCAGATGATACAGCAAATCCAACATAGGACCATAGCTCTTTTGACATAAAATATTGCCTTTGTTCTGTCTCCTTAATGAAACTAGCTAATTCCTCGTAATACTTTGTGGGTCTCAAATACCATGTAAATAGTTGTTTCCTTGATCAGAGATCCCTTTTCCAAGCAATGTTTGTGTCTTCTACATACCCTAGAAAATGTGAGAAAATAGGTTCTTTTGGGAACTTTGTTGGGACAAAGAGCTCACTTCTTTTGAGAATTAACTAAAATAAGTCCTACTGTCATTTCTTTGAAATTTATAAACCATTGCCTGGGTCCATGTTAAAAAAAGAAAGAGTCCTTTTTGACTGGGAACTCTTCATTCCCAGTCAGTTCATCCCCAGACTTATATCCTTTGCTTTCTCTCTGCAGGAATGCTGGCACCAGACTGTCAGAGTGAAGTTTGCATTGTAACGCAGGCACCGCTGCCCGGGTGCCGCGTGTTTATGAAGCATCTCCAAGTCTTTGTTTAGAGGAGGCTTCTGAAGCTGTCACCATGGAGGGCAGGCATATGAGAGTTTCCAGGTGGTCATTGAACCCAATATAATTGATGCAAAATTGTATGCATTTGTGCTAAATGCAGTATTCCAGGGAAAAGCGGGTATTTGTGACTAACAAGAGATTAAGAATTGCTGGTTCTAGTGCACTGTTTAGGAAGGGGGAGGACTGGAGGCCGTTCTGCTGAAATGTGTTGGAAACAAGGCAGACTATCCTGTTAGAGCCAGCAACGTTCTTGGCTCTCAGGACATTGTTGGCATTTCACTACAGAGGCATGCGAGAGTGCCGGGGGCAGGGGCAACACGCACGGATGCACGCTGCAGCCGGCTGAGGTCTCCAGGGCCTCTCGCAGCCCACACGCTGCTTGCCACTCACTCAGCAGTACCCTGCACACTCACAGTTCGTCGAATCTTCCCAACGTTCCTGTAAGGCTGGCATTGCTGTCTTCACTTGACAAACAAGGAATTGGGTGACTGGAAACATTAAGCCACTCAATCAAGGCCACAGCAGGCCAGTTAGTAGAAAGACTGGATTTCAGATATAGGTCGGTCAGATTCCAAAGCTGGTTCATCCTCTTCCCAACGTAGTTCATTGTTTCTCTATGTGGGATACGAAGAAAGTACTGTTTAATGTAGCTGTTTACTGTGGCAGGACAGAGTTCCTCAAGAACACTCACATGCTGATAGGAAAAGCCTGAATGTGTTATTAGAGGGGAACAAGAGAATTAGATGTTTCTCAGTGGCTTAGATGGTAAAGCGTCTGTCTACAATGAGGGAGACCCGGGTTCGATCCCTGGGTCGGGAGGATACCCTGGAGAAGGCAATGGCAACCCACTCCAGTACTCTTGCCTGGAAAATCCCGTGGACGGAGGAGCCTGGTAGACTGCAGTCCATGGGGTCGCAAAGAGTTGGACACGACTGAGCGACTTCACGTTCACTTTCACTTGCTTTCAGCACGGCAGAGGATAAGTGCATTTCCTTGAGTTGTGCTCATGCCCCACACATATGATTCCCAATATGGTGTCCAGGTATCTTGCTGAGCACCAGATGAATAAGTCTCTGGCAGAGACAGCCCAGAGAGTTGATTAGTTGGTTTTTCCCGGGTAGCTGCAAAACTTTGCATGTGTGTCCATCACTCAAGTCGTGTCTGACTTTGCAACCCCATGGGCTGTAGCCCACCAGGCTCCTCTGTCCATAGGATTCTCCACGCAAGAACACTGGACTGGGTGGCCATGGCCTCCTCCAGGGACTCTTTCAGAACCCACAATGGAACCCATGTCTCCTGAGCATCTCCTGCATTGGCAGCTGGGAAGCCCACCTGCAAGACTTTATTTATTGCAAAAATGAACTGACTTCAA